ATACTTTTTCAGTTACAGGTTTCAGAAAAATAAAATTAGAAAGAGAATCCACCAGAACAAATTACTTCTTTCAAGTGTAAAAGAAAATACTTTAAAATTTTCGTTTTTATTTCTACATTATATTCATATTCTTGGTTACACAATTTATAAATAAATTAACCGAATTTTATAATATTTTATTTAACTTTGAATGATAGATGTTAAATTGTAAGGTTGTTTCACAAATATTATTGCAATATTATTTGCATCAATGGTATCTACCGCGTTGAAAACTTTTAGACGGAGAGGCCGACATAAGAGGCATTGCCCTAGACCTCCGGATTTGAAACTTGGGCCGTGTATGTTACAAAGCCCATTGTGGCCAGATTTCAGAAGAAGTAAATATCGATAGAATTATTTAGACTAAAGAAAAACATTCTAGGGCTGTTGGCCTTCATGAGAACCTTTCCGAGGGAAACTGGCTCATATTCATGCCATAGATGAAAAAAATCACGAAAAGCCCCATTCAGTCTGCCCGTTCGTCGGGATTTGCACCCGAATCGAACTACCAGTGTTTAGCGATTTTACAACTCAGTGTACATTGAAAGATGAGACAAGACAGAATAGTATTTTACCACAGTAGTAAACTTTTGTAATAATATTGTAACTTTGAAAGGTAAATCTCTTTTAGTAAGCTTTTAGCATCCAATTACAAATGATTATTACGACAAAATATGCGGTTAGATCTCATTCTAGACACAATAGTTTTTTTAATTAGTATTCAGTAAACACTCATCTACCCCAAGTAGCACGGGAACGTCGTAACGACGTTACAGACTGGTCGCGAGTCTTGTTGGCAAAGACATTGCAATATGTCATCTTTAAGATGCCCAGATGTCCGCGAAACTCCACTACTTTGCAACCGTTGCAAAGACGTCTTTATTACGTCTTTGCAGTTGAGGTTTATGTTGAATAGACGTCGTTATTGCGTCTTTCGCAGGTTATATTTTGTATGTGAAAACATCGTATCACGACGTCTTAACGACGCCTAAATGTTCTCAAAATTTCCCATTTTGCAACAGTTGTGAAAACGTCGTTATTTTGTCCTTGTGTTACATATTGATTTATGCAGAAAAATAAGCTTAATAATTAATATATTATTCTTCTCTTTTAAAATTTTTTATTCCTTGTATTTTTTCTAAAGTTTAAATATTTTATTATTTCCTGAAAACAGAAGATAATAATTTTTTTTCTCTTTAGACTAAATATGCATAATTAATAATAGCTTTAATTATTTTCAGTACTTTAAACTATGTTTTTTAAATAACTTAAATTCTAAGTTACGATTATTTAAAATTTCATCTTTTTTTTTCCTCAATCCTTTAGTATATAAGTGAGAGTAATTATGAAAGTGGTTACTATAAATATATAACATTAATAGTAGGCTTTAAGTAAATAAAACTCAATCAGACATAAATAAAAGTAAAGATATACATGTGTGTTAAAAAAGAGCGTTTCTAATTATAACAGCATTATCACATTTATTTCTGTTAAATCTCAGAGACATTGAAAATTTCCCCTGTCATCGTAAATTAGGAAGCGGTTCTTAAGGTAACATAATCAGTATTTTACCTGAACTCAAGTATGAATTTATTCGCGTTTCATAGTACTCGTAATAATATAACCATTAACTTCTATATCTCCAAGATATGCTAATGAAAGACTGTTGAAAGTAGTTAATAAATGTGATCAAAAATATTCCATACAAAAATATACATAAATCTAATAACCCCCCGAAAAAAACTTCCCCTATTCATATCTAAAATGAAATAGTAACCTAACAAACAATATACATGACAGCACTATTTAAGAAAAAACATGAATTAGCAGTGGAATATAAATAGCAGAAGGAAGGTAACAGAACTAAACTTTCCAATTAATAAAAAAAAAATATTTGTCTTTTTTAAATAGGAAGCAATTAAAAGTGCAATAATTATGGATTGTAGTATTTACTAGTAATGCTGATGTTTCTGAAACCATTTCTTTCTATCATATGTTAATGTATTTACTTATTTTTAATTTCTAATTTTAGAATAGTGGTACATTGATTATTTCATGCACTTTTTATAATCAATAACTTTTTTTACTGTACAGAAATAATTTAAATAATATAGTATACGACAGTGAGCTAAGTACGTTTAAGTAAGCTCTTCGTTAAAAAAACACACAATGAAACTTTTTGTTTCTATTTATTATGAATTTCTTTCTTATCACAAGCATATAAAAAGTAAGCGAAGAATATAGAATATACTTAAATTTAATAAAAAATAAAACCTAATTTCCAACATTTCATTTATTGAGATAATCTAATATACATACATAAGGGCAACATTTAAAAAAACGCGAATTACACAGTGTTTGGAAGAATAGAGACCAAATGAAAAATAATATAACTGCAATTTACAATCAATAAAAAATATTTAGTGTTTTTTTATATTACACAATTAAATATGACAAAATTATAGATTACACTATTTAATAGAAATGCTAATGTTTTCTTAAAACCATTTTTTCGATCATACATTTCATACACTCTTTAAAATCATTAAACATTTCTGCATACTGTACAAAAGACAACATACTATAGAATGTGCATTATTATTAATTTTAAAGTATTGCTTCTTGTTATTACATATATCTAATTCATCTTCAGCAGTCATAATAAGCACTGGTACCAGTCCAATAATTTTTTTGTATTTTGAAAATAATGAACATACCATAACAGCTTGAATTGTTGTTGCTTCTGTACTGATTTCATTTTCAGGAAAACCAGAAAGTGCTTACCGTTGTATGTTATTTTTGGTTTTATATGAATTAATCCTGAGTACCAACCTTTCTTTATGAACACAATAATCGATTAATATGAATCATATACGATATAGCACTTAGGACGTTATAACCGAAGAACAACGCTCATCAGGGTATCCAAATATTGCACCACTGGAACCACAGAAGATTGGAGAACACCACCATAAAACTTTTTAATCACCGGAAACACATAAAACACCAAAACAGATGAAGTATCCAAAATTTTGGTGTTTTCTTGTAGAGCAGATATTCCAAACAAAATAAGCACACATTCCGCATTCTCACGATTATGTCTCCTGAATTCAAAGGCTTCCAAACAGGAGTTCATAGCAATGCAATTTCACTCGAATGAAGTAAGTAGATAGGGACAGAACAATGAGAAGATTCACAGTGCGTTCTTTGATTGACAATGCATGGCTTTTATTTATAATATAAACAATATTATTTATATCAGTCATTGCTTGATTCAATTTCAAACATGAAGTCAGTCTTTGCAAATGCCTTACAGATAACATCTTTACCAAATTACTTGATGAAAAGTAATTGCGCAGTTATCAACTTCTAATTTGAATTTAGCAGCTAGCTAAAGCGCGCAAAACCTCTAGATGTTCGTTTATATAAACATCCAGTAAATAATGTACATGGAATGTCATCGGTTGAAGAGCAATACTGTGTAAATTTCACCGATTTACCGATTGCATTAAACCTTCGACGATTCTTCTGATAATTTAATAGAATCTTTTTTAAATGGCCTAGAAGAATTATTTCAACTGAATAGAATTATGAACAATGTTCACAAGATTATATTTTATACAAAAGTATTTATCGGGATCGCTAAAACATTTGTAAGTCAATGTCGCCAAATTCCGAGCGTACCGTATAGGATTAAACCAAGCATTTTTGAATGCATGGAAATGGACAAAAACGTAAAAACATATTAAACAGTTCATCAGAATTTTTATAGGTAATAAATTTCGTATTTCTGTTCACAGTTTCTCTAATTTGTATGTCAACAATTTTTAGTAATTTATCAAATCCGTTAATTTTGTTGTTTTCAATGAAAAGCGTTAATATTTCTTTCTATTTTTCCATTAATTTTTTCGTTCTGCTTCTCCTGACTGTCGGTGAGTTTTCCATCATGTATATTGGACAGCCGTTAAATATGCATGGATATGTATCATCTTTTAACATTGGACGCTTTCTCGGAATTCTTAAAATCGCCCCATTATTATCCGTGAATACATCTTCACGCATAATCATACCTTCGTGAAAATTGTACTTTTTGCACTGTATGCGGTAAAATGTTTCATATTATGTCACCATATTAATTCAAATAAATTTTCCTTACTTCAAAAATAATAAATAAAGTCATATTTCAGTAGTGAAATAATTGCTAAGATGTGATTTGCATTAATTTCGGAAATATGATTTTTTTAAATATGTAAAATGCATAACTTAATAACTTACTATATAGATTAGTTTCGTTTTTAAATATTTTGCTATAATATTTATAAAAAATTTTAAGTATTAGTTATTTTAACAAATTTTTAAATAATATTTAGCCCGTATTTTACTACTAATTAAATTTAATAAATCAAAAGTATTATATTAAATTTTATATTTATTAGGTGAATCTACCTTAGATTAATATATTTAGATGAAATAACGTAATGAAACATTGCAAAGTAAATCTTATGAGGACTTCAGATTCTTGAAAGGGCAGATTTAGTCTCTTTTCATTCTAGAAATAACGCTGATGAACTATGAAAAAAAAGCTAAAACGACCACGTCTAAAAGCGGTCACATCATGACGTTTCAACATATTGCCAAGATGCAACGGCAAATATTTTGTGTCTTCGCAATGTTGTAAAGACGTCGAAAAAGTTACCATGACCACTTTGCTAACTCTCGGACCAGTTTGCAACGTCGTTTTCTACTTGGAACTATTCAGGTTAAATACGCTTATGTGCTTTTGCGAATAAATGAGCTATCTACAAAGGCATATTATAAAAATCAGAATTTGTATTATATATACAGATTCTTACATGTGCCTGTCTTCTTCGTTCTATCCTTTACGTAGGTTTGTTTGCGGTATGCTAAATTAAATAATATTATATATTCAATTAACTGATATAGGCACTTTTGTGTTATAGGAACATATCAGAGATTATCTTTGAGCTTCGAACTGAAAAGAAACATTGGATATTTCATATTTCAAACATATCTACCGTCCATACTTATAGTTATGCTGTCTTGGGTGTCTTTTTGGATAAACCATGAAGCTACATCAGCTCGTGTTGCTTTAGGTAAGATTAAGTCTTGCAGTTTATTATCTGATATGCATTATTTTAGTATTAAATTAAGTATACTGATTAAGAGAAATTATTTTTCTTAATAATTTTTCGTAATATATATATATATATATAAATACCCCACTTGGCTCAAACTAAATGCCACTAATACTGTTCAAAATGATATAGCGTACCTTGATTTTACATCTTATATTGCAATTGGATATTTACTATGTATTTATACTTATTTGCATAGGAACGAAGTATCACTTTACACGTAGGCTATAGCTTGAAGAATTACTTTTAAGTTTTATTTTCAAATTTTGCACCTCCATGCGCAAAATTCTTGACCTAACAGGTCCTTTTTGTTTAGTTCATAAGCTTTTCTTGCATTATATACGTATACATATATATATTTAGACTATGTATTTAATTTCCTGACAACACTTAAGCATTACTCTTGGGCAACTACATAGTAGTCTTCACCATTCAGTACACCTACAAATAGAAATCAGAGAGCTTCCTGTTCTTTTTGCAGCCATACACTTCACAATAAAAGTTTGGTAACTAATTGTTTAAAATATTCACTTATCTCTTTATATACGTAATATTTATCGATAATATCAGAGCCAAATTCGGAGCTCTCGAAAGAAAATTTTAATCAGAAAACTATAAATGCTAAAATATCTGGACTTAATCCAGAATTTTTGTATTAGACATGAATCATTCTCAGGTAGAGTTTGAAAGCAAACATTTAACGAAACGTAATACAAACAGTACCGAATTTGCTACAAGATCGCTTCTCAGTCAGAAGGTGGTTCCAAAAGGGTGATAGTGAATATGGAGGACACTTGTGAGAGTTTTTTTAGTTAAAGGTCAAAAATAATGCAAGACATACACTAAAGCTTTCAACCAATCGAATTTATCCGATGTCGCATAGTAAACTCTTTTGAAGGAAATTTGCCTTTTTCTCTTGTACAGGGTGATTATAATTAAAGTCGCGATTTCAAAATGCTCTAACGTTAAAACTACCGGTCAGAATGACTTAATATTTTACCAAAACAATCGTGAGGCAATGGAATTTTGTTTGGCGAAGGAAAAACAAAAGTTCTAAAATGTGCCGATAGACGGCGCTGTCCGGGGCAAGGTCTAATCGTTAAACACAAGAATGTTGTTAGAGAAAAGGAAATAATAGACTCCAACGGCTTAAGACAGGCGAAAAGACGTGTTCACAGCGAACAGTTTAAAAAATACGTGTGTAAAACGAAAAAAACAATTGCGACAAGAGAAAAAGAGGAGCTTCATTGAAAGAAACACCTTCATGAAATCACCTGAAACGGATGTATAACGCATTGAGTTGTTCGATATGGCCTCTGCCTTGTTCCGTTACCAGTTGGAAGCGCAAAACAACATGTTCCGCAGCAGTTCGGAAGCTATCTGTGCTGATGCTATAAATGTGGTGCATGATGCTTGCCTTCAAGTCGGACAGATTACCAATCCATCCATTGTAAACAACATTCTTCAGGTATCACCAAAGCCAAAAATCACAAAGGTTTAGTCGGGCGAACGTGGAAATCACCCTGGTGAAAAATGGCGGCTTATGATTTTATGAGCAATCAACAGCTGCTTCACAGAAGTAGCAATGTCCGGAGGAGCGCCATGTATATTGTGCGCCATGTATACCTTGCATGTATATTATGCGATCCATACATTGACCCTACTGAATTGCCGGAAGGACATGATTAAGCAAAAATGCTTCATACTGCTTGACAAAATGGTGTAGTTAACGGGACCCGCAGGTGTGATCTCGAAGAAGAACGGACCGATGACAAACGCTGCCATTATTCCGCACCTCGTAGTGACCTTTTTGGACTGAAGAGGTAATGGCTGTAGCGGGAACGGTTTCTCGATCACTGATAACCTGCAATTTTGAGTAATTACAGAACCTTGAAAATGGAAATCGGCTTCTCCAGACCACAGAATGTTCCCTGGCCATCAATTGTCCACTTTTATCCGGGCAAGAAATCATTGCCTCACATATGTTCTGTTAAAATAGCAAGTCATTCTGACCGGCAGTTTTAAAGTTAGTGCGCTTTGAAATCGCAACTTTAATTCTAATCGCCCTGTTCACTTTATTTGCATAGATTGCACAATTCTACAAATTTATGCTGATTGCAACAATGTTTTCAGAAATCTGTCTTGAAGAATATATACAGCCAGATGGAAAAGCACATGTACTAATGATTCAAGTTATTGTAAAGAGAATCTACTCCTGAGTTAATAATTGTGGTTGGTTTAGCTTCAGCATTTGAACAAACCTCTAGTTTACGGAGAAACAAACTAACCTCCGTTAGTTTGTTTCTCCGTATCTCACTAAAAAAGAATGTCATACCATAGCGGAATTTCAGTATGATGTCGCCCAGCTATTTCTTACACGGAATGTTTCCTTCTTAAGTGTAGAATATGTCTTTACTTGCCTACAAACTTCGAGGAATAGCCCTGGATCACATCACCCAAGTAGCACGATGATATTTTAATGAAGTAGCTATTGCGTCGTGCAATATGGTACAAAAATGTGTATTATGTCGTTTCCAAGTAAATATAATTCCAATTTACAAAACATTATATTACAAAACATTATATTATTATATATTTTTTTATTAAAGAAGGCAGTTTTCGTCCTCCTGAATTTTCTTTATCCATGCTTTGTAAAATCCTGAAACCGGTCTATTTACCGATTTCCTCGATATTTGTATAAAATTGTGTAGTTGAACAAATCGTTAATTACAAAAAGCAGTTAAACGAAACTGAATAAAAACTATGTCATTCAGATCTTATAAGAAACTTGTGAAAAATAGCCGCCCAGACAGGAAAGTGGTTAGTGACTCTGACTGCCATACTGAATTGTCCGGGTTCGAAAATCTCGGAGAAGGCACGGATGGCATTTGTTCGTCCCTTCATAGGAGGCAACTGTGGGCCACCAGTTAGGTGCCTCCATAATAAAGTGATCACCGCTTCCAATAGCTTACTATTTATATCTCTGAATAATTACTTACTGCTTGAATGAAAATATTTTTAAAACACTGAACTTAGAAATGAAATCTGTTATGATAAGATATGTTACTTTTTTTTCAAAAAAATCACTGCATTAGAATTACGTTCTGAATTAATCATACTGGAATATACTCTATGGCAACGTATAAGTTTCCATATTTCTGACCTTTATGTTATGGGCAAGAGATTTTGATGGGGACCTTTCCTTGAAAATGTTTTAGCACTTTGAAATTTTTATAATGATTATAATATTAATAAAACAAAACATTGCGAACGTGATAATACGAAAGTATATTTTAAATATGATAAAAATGCTTCAAATTTTTATAATCTCATTACATGGAATTATGTAAACATAAAAAAGGCATACAATATAAAATTCTTAAATTTTAGGACACGTATTTATAAATTGTGCATTTTGATAGAATACGAGTATCTACTTCTTGCGTAACTGCAGAATTTTCAATTTCATCATGCCTGTAACTTTCAAATACGTAAATGATAGATCATGTCTTCTTAGTATTATATGGCACAGAACAACTACGTCTGAAGTTAAGCCTCGCTAATACTATTTACCTCAGTTATGTAGTATCGTCACTCTACCCATAAATGCTTGAATATGATAATGCAGAAGACTTAACGAGGCACAGTATAAAACACATAAATGATATATAAATAACTGGCATCAAATGAACTAATTTTATACAATATTTAAAACGTGATCTTACTTTTGCCCACATTCCGACTTAAAAATTACTTCAGCTCACTTGATTGGTTCTGAAGTGCCATACCCTTCTCCACTCACACCCTCTTCGCTACTCTAAATATTTTGCTTGTTGATGCAAACACCATAAATTAAAGGTTCAAGGACTAATATTTTCTTGCAGCTACATCTCTATCAGCTTTCTTAAATGTTGTAGTATGTGGAAGTACGATAAATTAGTAAAAATCCAAGGAAGCATTATTTTATAAGATAAATTCATTAAACTCTTTTTTACAGAAAACACAGACCAAAAAAAATAATTGCGTATAAAACTGCATTTATGCATAGTAATATCAGATTAATAATCCAGCTGATGCACTTTTACAAACATCCTTCTGAAACTTATTCATCCGAACAATGAAATACGTAACATCAAACTGCATGAAATTTACAGCAAAACGTTTCATTGAGATGGAATTTTTTCATATAATGTAGCTTTGTTTTTCTTTCAAAAAAGAAAATATGTATTATTAATCATTTTCAAGTAATAACAGGAATTTCATTATTCTAAATCTTGATTTTTTTAAATTTTGTTTTAATTTTTTAAAAACATTAAGCTATTCCGGATACCTTACATATGCAAGGGAAGTATGAAAATGGTTTTGGAAAGCACTTCATGAAAGGTACCCCGCTATTGCCCGAGTTCTTTTTTTTTTTCAGGAAATTAATTTCGTTAAGTTACAAAGAATTATACAACAGCTTTTCTACATTTTGACAGCATATTTGTTCACAAAGCATTAAATTTACATATGTTATTAAATTTGTGCACCTGTATATATTACTAATAAAATCAATTCTGATTTACAGACATAAATTTCGTATTTTATTTATATTGGAAAATTTTAATTTTTAAATATTATAAAACATAAATAAATAATAATTTGTAGTATATTATTTTAAATTTTAAAACACTATAGTTTACGATTTATAAAGGGAAAATTTTAAACATTTGCTATTTAAAAAAATTAATGCTTAAAATTATTCATACTAAATTTATATTCTTATTTCAGATGCATTTACTTTGAATTAATATGTTTAGATGAAAAATAGTAAATTGAATCTGGATTTGAGTGTAAATTCCTGAAAGATCAAAAGTTAGACAAATAATTTGCATCTTCGCTGCATTGTTAAAACGTCTAAAATTACCACGACCTCATTGCAGCTTCTTGAACTAGGAATTTAATAACCTAGTGGTCTCTGGAATTGTACATTAAGATATGTACTAAGACTTTGTTAAGACAAATAGAATTAAGGATATGCACATTATAGTTATGAACGAAGTTCTGTAGCCAAAAACTAATAATGAATAAAATGTTCATCAGTAAAGCTATACATAGCAATGCTTATTGATTCAAATAATGATTATACAGTTTAATGTAGCCTAAAAATTTTGGCAACTAACAAAAACTTAAATAAATAACTAAAATAATGTTCTAACCGTATTATATTATGTCATTAATTTCTTCCTTTCTTTTTATTCACATAGATTAATGGGATTACATATAAACATTTTACAAAAGAGTCACCAAATAACATAATTTTTGCTTAAAATTTACTAAAAATAAGAAGAAACAAATAAATTATTTTATTTATCTTGTTCAAGAAATTGCTTGCGCAGCACATCCCATGTAATATATATCCCGCAGATTATTTGCATCTAGTGAAATAAAGATGATTAAAAATGCAGTAATGAACAATTTTGTTTTAACTTCGAGCGAATATCCTACAGAAAATGTATGGGTGAAAAGCTATTATAGTACTTTATCCATCACCCATATGTACGTAATGTGATATTTAATGTATTAAAGCGATATTTGCTGCAATTGATATTCCTGTCACTCAAACAGGGTACTTGTTTCATAAAAAATTATTAAACTTAAGTGAATCTTTCAATATTTCAATGACATACTTTAATGGCATTAAATAATGATTTCATTTCGATATCCACAAAACAGTAAAATATTTTTATGAATGCATGCAAGTTTTAAAATTTAAAAAACTTTAAATAGTTAATTTTAAGTTTTCTTAAAATTTCCAATACTAAGTCAACTGTCTTTTCAGTTTACATGCATTTTATATCATGAATTCCAGCTTATTTTTCGGGTTCTAGTTCTTCTATTTGGTTTAGATGAAAGCTGGAGTAGTTCAAGGCTATTAAAAGCTCTCAAAATATCAGCTTCTGGAATATATTCAAGAAAGTTCTTGTGTTAATAGCGTACTAATCACATAACTAGTACCATCAAGCTGATTAAAAATAATTCTAACAAAATCACTCAAGTTTTGAAAATTTTGCTTAAATTAAATCTGATCTTCGCCCATTTCGGATAAATATCCCTCTGCCTTTAATGCTCCCATACAACATGATTGCAAATAAGTTTTATACTGCTTTTTAACTGATGTCTTGAAAACTGTACGATTCGGTCTGAATGTTCTCGACAAAATCAAATGAGTCAAAATGGCTCACTTATCTTTCAGCTTCAGTCTCTAAAATAAAAAGATCTCAAGGTTAGAAAGCTGGAGTTTAAATGATCAGTGACCAAAGGGAATTTCATTCCCGCCAAAAACTGCTTCTTCTTAAAAGCAGCTTGACTTAGTACGGTCTCTGTGATGCAATCGAATTCCGTTCACGCATTTAAGTCATTTGCGAAAAATTCCCCGTAAGCCAATAAACACCTCATTACCTGTCCTCAACAAAGAGACGAATTCTCAATACACAACTCCCTCATATTTGAAAACACTTTCAGTAGCGTCTTTGTTTCATTTTCATTTTTCATTAGTCTCTCTGAATGAGTTTTCAGTAATTAACTCTAAAATATGCTGCTCTGTCTTGGAGGCGTTATTATAAAATAAACGTAAAAAAGTACGACCTGAGGCACTGATTTCATGCAGGTCAAACATCACATAGTTACAAGCACATTTCAGTTAAACGATTTCCAGGAAGCATTGCAGTCATGGTAAGCTGTAGGCTTGTGGATAAAACTGGAGACTGAATCGACTGGAGACCATATTCAGGTAACTTTCTAAACTTTGGTTGGCCTTATTTGGTTTTTATTGTGATCAACGAAGCGGTTTCATCTGCATGGCTAATAGTCGGATAAAATAGCTAAACGATTATTAGAAACGTTATTTCACAAGGTAGAGCTGCGTAACAATAAACGATTGATATATTATATTTATTTATTATTAAAATTTCAAACCTTATTTCCAATTAATATTTACCATTTTTCTGAAGCTAAACTTTTAATGTTTTGGCGTTCCTACCAAAATCAAATGTACTGGCATACACTGTAAAACAAAACAAAAAGGGGGAATGATGCATCAAGAAGTTTGCCGAATGGGACTAATTTTGGTAAATGTGATATATATATATCGGAAAATTAAAAAGAAACAATTAAATAATTAAATTGAGAGAAATTGAATATTTTATTCGGTAATATAGCTACACGTAGAGAATAAATCTGTAAAGCATTGGTTCCTCTCTCGCCTTTATGCAACTGCTATGCGACCTGACATTTGCTCGCTGATTTGGTAGATGACCTCCTGAAAGAGTTTTTGCCAACTTCTCAATTTTCGACTTAGCTCGGTTACATCGTGGGACGGTCTTAGGAGCTGCTTATCAGATCATAAACGTGCTTAAATGGGGAGAGACGTAGCATTCTAGGTGATCAGGAAAGTGACTGACAAGAACAAAGAACAGCAGCAGAAATTATTCTCGTTTGCGGCTGGGCATTATTCTGCTGAAATATAAGTACAGAGGGCTTCGAATGGAAATGCAATATAACACGGTTTACAACATCGGTCGATGCTCCGTCGTACTGTTCATGGATGACAACAAAAGATCAAATAAACCTCAGAGCGAAACAATCTGTTGCCGGGTTCTGTGATGAACGACAGTCACGCCAACATGCTGCTACTGTCCTGACACCTTCAGGCCGTCTTCTTTGGTGATCGGAGGTCATTTCGAAGCAGAACTCATCGCTTAAGACACTTCTAACTTCATTCATGAGATTCCATGTCGACCAAGCGCTGCACTACTATGAATGCAATTCTCGATGGGGGCAAGTGAGAAAAATATCTGACACGTTGAGCATCATAAGCGTAGACCTAGTTCTCGGAGTTGCTTATTAAACGTTTTTGAACTCACTGGTGCCCCAGTTACACGTCAGATCGTTCATAATGGGGAATTAGGGCTGCGAGAGCCTCATTAACGATTGCTTGGTCTCAAGTTCTGCTGTCGTCATCGATTGATATCTTCTTGACGCTATGCTTCTGCTATGGCTCACCGATTTCAACCATCATTTTCCTATTCAACCTAGTCCAACTATAATTGATGGCATTGGTTCGACCCTCTTCAAGTTGACAATACTTTTTTCAGGCTAATTGCTTCTCCTCTCTAAACTGGTAATTTATACCATGCGATAACCTGCCTGCAACGTGTAGGTACACTCGAAGCGAGCAGATCAATAAAATTCAAATGACAGTATGGGCAACTGTAAACTTTCCTCTTTTATATAAGGTGTGCCGAAATGAAAAGAAGACTATAGTTATACGTAAAGAAATTTCAATAACAATATTCTAATTGCAGTTCATGTGGAACAGTAAAACTATAAATATTCGCCAACGCGTAGGAAGGAAGGGGATGACTTCAATGTAGAAACTCCTGGGTTGCTAATGGATTCAATTTTCCACGTTGTGCTGTACTTCCTGGTCACAGGTGAACCTCTGATCTTTCAGGCATTTCATAGTGGCCGAAGATACGGGAGTCAGGTGGGGAGATATCGGTGATGTAAGGAAGATATTGCAGGACATTCCATTGAAATGTTTCAAGAAGCTCGAGGGTATTCTTGGCTATATACGATTGATCGTTGTCCTGGAGAAGCACTATTAAATTCGAGAATTTGTCCCTGTGCTTGTTCCTGATAGTCTGAACTACAGTAACGTGTTGCAATACCGCTCAACGTTAACTATTGCATACTGTTGTATCCAGTCGATGCGCAGACGGCGTTTTTCGTCGAAAAATAAACTGAGCATAACTTTTCATCCTTCTGGGAACAGTAGGCTTTTCTCTGGAAGGGAGGCTACCACACCATGATCATCCGTTCGAAAGCAGAATCGAATTGGTGACACCAAATTTCATCACACTTTAGAATCTTAGCAATGCAATCCGTTCCCTGTTCCTCGTATCTCAAAAGATTGGGCAGTCAAACACGCCGTCTTCGGCATCTCTGACAGATGCTTGGGCACGCACAGTGCGCAAAATTTGTGAAACATGCTCCCCTTCTACGTGAAGTAATTTGATAACTTCTTTTTGTGCCTGTCTGGAGTAGCCCATCATGCAACGATTTATGGAAACAACTTTATAGAAATAAGAATATTGATGCAAAGCCGTTCACTACGCATGGAGTAACTGGGAATACTACCACGTCATTTATCGGCTAACATATTAACTCACTGGGATTTGATACAACGCCGCTACAGCTAAGGCCTCCTTTTGGTTTGAGCACACGTTATACATCACCCATATGCTGTCTTGCGATGCTTTGTAGCTCACGCTATTCATTCTGTAGCCGCCAAAATACAATAGTTGTCATGTAGGGTTGGAAAATATTTGCATACGGAATTTCGTTACAATCAGATAACTCCTACTGAGTCCATTTGTTTCATATTATACTTAGAGTATGTATCTCTCAAAGCCTTTGATTTTCCATTCCTTAATTCATGGTATGAAAATGTTTCAGAATTTGTTACAATTAATTTTCTCTTTTATGTTTCAGGGATAACGACAGTTTTGACAATGACCACCATTAGTACCGGCGTGCGATCATCACTACCTCGAATTTCTTACGTGAAAGCCATCGACATCTACTTAGTGATGTGTTTCGTCTTTGTATTCGCTGCATTATTGGAGTATGCGGCAGTCAACTATACATACTGGGGAGCAAGAGCAAAGAAAAAATCAAAGAAAGACGCCAAAGCAAATGATACAATAGGACCGGTTAGTAGTGCTTTATATAGCTTCAAAGCTTCACTCTGGCAGTTTTTGAAGTTAATATCTTCATAATTTATTCAAACGCAATTTAAGTAATCAGTGAGTCAACGGCAAAAGTTCGCAAACATTCCTTTGAAAAAGGCAAAGATTAGGATTTAGGTGGCTTCAAAAAAGGTCAGAATTAATCTCCCAGATTTTTCCCCACCAACTAATTTCGGTAAGATATATCATGATTTCTCATCTATCACCATCTTTTTCGAAGTATGTTGGGACCTACAAATAAATTAAATAACCCATTAGTATCTGCGGTATAATGCAATATGGCTTATGTTAACAAACATTAAACCTTACATTATGACCTGCATTTCACGGGAGAAACTTTACCTTGATAATATAAAGCAGCATTCAAAATTTGAAATAAATGCTTGACGCCCGTATCACAGAAAGAGAAATCTGTCGAATCTTCAGAATAAAAATAAAATAAAATAAAAGAGAAATAAAAAGAGTTTTGTTTCTAAGCCGAGGGAAATTATTTTAATACAAAAAATTATGTTGTTGGAATCATTTTGAAATTAGTTAACTTTCATTCATTTTGATGCATTTTAGTTTCTATAAATCCCTTTCTCTTTTTGATATTGTCTTTCTGTTATTCAGATAGGATGAATAAAGCCTATGCTGCAACTTTTCTTTCGTTAAATTGATTTTTATTTTTTCGTTTCCGAAATCGCTTGGAGAAGTCTTTGTATCTTAAGACTAGGAAATTTCTATATATAAGAAAGGACGTTTTGCAATTAATATACGAAAGATTTTGAATAGAAACAATAAATATATACTTGTGCACATACATACATATATGTGCGTATACACACACACCTGTATGTGGATGTATGAATCTATGTGCATGTGTGTATATATATCACAAAACCAACAAGATAAAATTGTTTAAATAAATATTTCAAGTATAATTAAATAAATATTTCAATATTCAAAAGATAGACAATAACCACTAATGCAAGTTAAGCATAACGATTATTAATACAAGATAATAATAATTATTAAAATTGCTTTAAATAAAAAATACTAATACAAATATGGAAAAAGTTAAAAGAAAGCTAATACGGCAAAAAAGCAAAAGCAAAAGGGGTTGACACGTCTATCTTGATTAAAGCAAGCTGTGAAGTGCGCACAGCGCTCAAGGATCAGGTTCTATATAACGGGAAAATAAATTAATAAATGAAATTAATGTAATTAAATAAATTGGATTTGGAAAATAATTAAACGCATCCAGGAATAAGAAAAAATGTTAAACAACATGAAAGATTCGACCTTTGAGTTTTAAAGTAAAATCAAATAAAATAGAAACTACTCACACAGAAGTAATAATATTAAAGTATTAACACGAGGTAACAGATTATAGAATAAGGGAAAATTGTGGACTAATGTGAGACAATATTGATATTCGGCAATTTTAACTTGCTCAACTTACCATATACTCTGTAAACTGCGTAAATGAGGCTATAACAAAGTAATGTGCATAAACGAATTTAATTTAAACTTTAAAAAATTTAGTGTTGCTGAAGACAAAATGTACTTTATATTTTAAATTTAAAAAGCAGTTTGTTTAATAAACTAATCTCTTTTACCTCTCTTTTATGTACAAATTGGTTTATTTCTTAGTAATTCGTACATAATAATATTTCGAAATATGGAACGACATAAGCACTTTGGAATGTATATGCGTTAAAAATGCCACACCAACAAATTTTCACAATTTTACACATAATGTAGCTAATTGTTCTTTAGGATAGTCCGCAAAACTTTAATGAATAATGAACGTAGTATAAACCTGACGAAAATTGCATAGCAAAACATTTCACATAATAAATTAAATGCAGCAAACCAATCAGTAAAATAACTAGAATTTGAAGTATAATAATTAAATAAAAACTTCAAGATTTTGAAAACGGTAAACGTGGAAGTAATTTAGGTTACAAGTAGACGTTATAATGAATTAAATTCCAAAATTTAAGTAATTATACTTATAGCAAACAACAGAAAATAAATTCCGATACGCGAGCTTCAATCATTATAGTAAAATTATCAAAGTTTAAAAATAAAATCAAAATCCGTTCAAGACTTTTTTGTAACAACTAGACATAGCGTAAAATTAATACATCTCCTTGAAATGACTGCTATAAATGTGCACAGGTGCTTCAAGAGGATTCCTCAACTAAATATATCTTGTACGATTATACGATTAGTCACATGCCATTGATTCTAGTATGAGATGTAATTCATATAAAGGAGACATTCATACCAAAAAAAGTGCTGTTAGTCAGGTGTTTTGCTTACGTACAAAACTGCGAGTCATTTACAAAATTTGTCCCAATTAGTAAAAAATTCCTTATCCTAAGCCTTTAACTCAGGAAATTGAGTAATATGAAGAATTAGATTTAAATAAAAATGACAAAATTATGTAACTTAAACTATTTTCATTCAATGCAAAAAATGCCAAATTTGAGGTCGTATAAAAGTGGAATTCATTAGACATGATATTTTAAATTATTAGCATTGAGAATGGGAAATTTGAACGCATGCATCAATATTTTGCTGGCACATAAGTATCTTTAGAAATTCACAATATAAAGGTTAAGAAACCTAGATGTCTTTAGCCTCCATTACATAAAATACTCTAGAATTTTAATTAAAATACTTATGGGTAATTTTAATCATGAAGCTGAATTAACTTTTTGCTTGAGTAAATCCCTTATTTCAATGGGTAAATAATTCTCCTCGTTGATTCACTTTTTCCCTGAGTTAATGCTATAGAAAATTTAATGCAGGCATTTTTGCCAAAATATATCATACTACTAAACATTTCCTAGTTTCAAGCGCTACCTTACTTTATTTATCTCATAAACATGAACCATGGCTCTAACACAAAGCCTTCAAGAGATATTTACTCATAAAACTGTTTGAAAGGCATTCACTAGTTTTCAATATACACTCGTTTTCTCGTTCGTGTATATACATACGTATAAGCTACATAAGTACATATGTATAAGTATATACGTATAAGTATATACGTACAAGTGTATACATACGTATAAGTATATACCTGCATTCGTGTATATACGTATAAGTATATACGTACAAGTGTATACATACGTATAAGTATATACCTGCATTCGTGTATATACATACGTGTAAGTCCGTACCTTAACCGGCTTCTAATTTTGCAGCTGTTGGTCATAAACCAATATTTGCAGTTACAAAATTGCTCCAACTGATGCAAGTATTCATGTTTTGACATCTTGTAATAAATTGTAAATGACTAAATCCAACTTTTATACGTTATCCCAGTCCTTATATTTATATTTAGAGAAATTTTGTACTCATAAAAAATTAAATACAAACAGTTTGATTCCCATATTACATGGCCCATCAACCGCCGAGCGGTAAACATATTTCTGAACATTAGTAGTTCGATACGTGGTTCAAATCCCATGAACGGGCTGGCTGTCGTTCGTGACGTTTTCGCGATTTTCCTCATGTGTAACGTGTATACGAGCCAGTTTCTCTTAGGAAATCCTCCATGAAGTCAAACCTTCCCTTAGGCAGATAGCCATCGAGGCTTTGACGTAATCTCATTAAACCAAAAAATATTACAAAAACTGGCGCAGGTATTATTACATTGCAAAGTTGCTCATTACACTTAGATTAGGTTACGCTATTTGAATAGGGCAAAACATGATGGCTAACTGCCGAGAAGAGATGCCTTCGCTGAAAACTAACAACATCAGATAAAACTCGTATGCGAGTCACACATGAGAAAAACTACGAAAACTAACCATGTAGCCAGTTCGTGTGCCCAGATTCGAACCCGGGTCCAACTAACTGTATTCAATGTTTTCAGCCACTGGTGGACCATCAGATTCAGAAGCCGTAAACAGAGTGAAAAGCGAAATATTTACATTTGATTGCAGCTAAATATAAAATATCAATGCAGAAAAAATTTTCTGATGTTAATAGATTAAACGACGAGGAGTTCTATGCAGATTGTTATGAAAAGTATTGAATAATATATATGTACATATATCATAAACATAATCATAAAAAAATTCATAAAACTCAATTTTTTTTTAGTTTTAGTTCATGCAAATAATGTTACAAATATATACATAATGTGCAAATAACGCTATTTATCTATATGCACGTATTTCAAAAAAGAGCTCAAAATCATAAATTTCATCTTGCAGAAAAAACGCCGGCACGTTTCGGTAACTAGCTTGTAGCATTATTTGCATTGATTAAAACTAAAATTATGCCGCCCAGTCGGTATAGTGGTCAAGGAAGCTGATTGCGATGCCGAAGGGCCTGGGTTCGAATCCCGGAGAAGGCATGGTTGTAACTGTCCGTCCCTTCATAGGAAAGGCGATGGTGGCCCACCTATTAGGTGCCTCCATAATAAAGAGACCACCACATCTGGCCTAGTATAAATTAATGGTCTGGGTTGCATTTGTAATTGTTCATAATGGGAGGGGAAAAAATAAAATTGTTTCTAGTTGCATGAATTTCTTATGATTATTATATAATGATTCTAACGTAATAAAATTTCATGAGAACACAAATAACATACTTTGATCATCTGAAAACATAAATTACTTCTGTGGAATTTCGTTTGGCATACCATTTGCAACAAAATTATAAATTAAAGAATGTTGTTCACTAGTAAATCACAATCTCCGAACGTCATTTAAGGGGAAAACATCAATCTTGAATTAATCTGACTAATTCGTTAATCAACCCTTCAAACAAGCTGGAAATGAAGTCAAATATCCCAAAATTTGAAATTAAATATCCCGGCCCCTATGCGTATGTTTAGGTAAATGTTATACTCGTGTGATAAAGAATCAAGTACAAAGCATTTGATTTCCGTGCGACAAAAACTAACCAATATATTTAACTTTAAAACTCTAAATAGCTTTTATTGAAAGCTTAAGGGG